TCAGAAAATTATAACAAATCTTTCCTATAAAATTTAATAATTTTATATACAATACTTATCACTACAATATTTTCTTAATTAATTTTTTTAATAAAGACTTCTTTAGTAAAGTTCACATTATGCACTGGTCCTTGAGATTTAGTGACGTAACCAAGGTGCATTTTCCCTTCTCGGCAGGTTCATAACCTACCCTTGCAAAATATGTTAAAAAAAAAAAAAAAAAAAAGAGTAAAGTTCGCATTATAACAAAGGGACCCTTAATTAAGTCAATTTCTCATTATCAAAACCAAAAAAAACAAAAACACGTGCTTGAGAGAGAAAAAGGATAAGCCAACACGTGAGGATCAGCACATGGGAAATTTGGCAGATACATACCTGTAGAAGGCGGTGGCCGGAAAAGACTGATAGTAAATTCCGAAGCTAAATTCGTTCTCTTCCAAAGAGTCAAATATTGTCTTCTGAGGATACCCATCTATCAGCTGCTTCGTGTCGTTGCCCGTGGCTCCATGTGAAGTAGCAGAGTGCACGTACAGCCTGTTCGGCTGTGTCGCCGCCGGCAATGACGCGAACCACCGGTCGCACACCGCGAACTCTGCCACCAACTCCTTGAACACCGGCACCATGTCGGGTTTCAAGCCGTTCATGACCGTATCCGACAACCCTTGCTGCCTGCGCTCTGCGTTTTGCGCAAAACCGTTCATGGTTATCTCGGGATCAGGAATTGGGTCCGATGTGTTCCATGGATTACCGGAGACCTGCTCGTATATAGCCTGAAACGAGTGGTCCGGATCAGGGTCAACGAAGGCTGAGGTGTCACGGAAGTAAACCTTGGTAGAGTTCGGATCGGAGGTGGAAATCGGGTTGGATTCGGTTCCGGTGACCCCATCAATTTCTGGGTTTAGGGTTTTGAACCAGCCAAGTATGTGATCGAAGGAGCGGTTCTCTTGAACTAGAACCACCACCGTCTTGATGGGGAATTGAGCGGTAGAAGCTTCAGCCACCATTTCTGATGACGCTTTGTGCTGAGTTGTGAGGCTAGAGGCTTTAATTTTGGTGGCTTGATGAACTGGTCTTTAATTGATTTATATAGTTATTATGTGGAACTGAAGAAAGGGGGAGTGGATATTTGGTTTTTTCCTCGAGTGGAGAAGAAGAAGAAGAGATAAGCTCAAATTAACGTTGGAATATGTGTTTCACTAATGTGGTTACGGCAAACACAATTTTTTTCAAAAATTTTAATAGTTAATTCTAGCATTTAAAAATATTAGTATGTAAATTAATTTTAATATATGTGATTAATATTTGTTTGTTTTATTTTAAAAAATTAAGAGAAAAATGGATTAAAAAATATTTTAATTTATGTTTTAAAAATAAAATATTTTAATTTTTTTAATAAAAATTTATTGAAATGATTTAATTTT